GTCCTTTTGAAGTTTAATGATTTTATAGGAAATTCTTAAATGACTTTGTTATAGTCCTCTAGTTATTGATAGAAAAGTCGGTCGCAGATCATCATAGTTTCAAGTTGCTGGTTCCTTGTCATTTGTTGAATTGTTTTGAATTTGTACTTCACAGTCCTATGCAGTCTCTAACAAAGAACAGAAAATTTTTCAAACATAATCATAAAACTCGGGTTGGCAAGAAAATCTATGCATTGAAGAAAATCATAGATAAAAGTATTATGATAAAACCTTGTTTCTTTATATTTTCAACAAATTTCAACCGTTTACGGTAAAATCTCTATGAATTAATGTACTTAGGTCCCTACAACTTTTGAGTTTGTAGAGATGTTAACTCAAAGAGTTTTTCCATTTTATTAATATCCAAATAGCCATAATTTATTATTTTTCAAAAGGAGAAGAGTTGGTTGCTAACCTATTTATATTATTATTATTATTATTCTAATACAACTAAAAGATGGTAATCGCAAACATAAAAAATAACAAAGTTAAAATTGAAGTTAATCTCTCAAAATATAATTTTTTATTTAGACATTTATTAATTTATAGGATCGTGGGAACCTATATTTATATAGGGGATTTTTTAAAAGTTATAATATTATTAATTAATTAAGTTTCTTCTTTTTTTTGTACTAATACTAAATGGGGACCAAGAAAAATTATTAATTTATAACAATGTTTGTAAATCTTAAATAAAATATATTATTTAGCCAAAAACGTTGCATAAACATATTAGACTTTCCTATTTTTCTAAATGGTAATCATACAAAAAGCTTGTAAGTCAATGCCCAAATCAAACATTTGAGATTAAAGTTAAGACACAAATCTAAACACAATAAAAGCCAAAAGATTTACAATAACCAAAAGATTTTTTTTTAAAAAAAACCTAAAACGGTTTGATATATCCTTGTAAATTTGTGTTTGTTCAAAAAAGAAAAACAATCCATTAAATGGTTTTATATTGTAATACAATAGAAGTATTATTCTTTCGGACTCAGTAAAGAAAAGAACTTCATGGAGCGGAGTTAAGAAGATTGATCATTATGCCTCCTTGAAATCTAAAGTGCTGATTCGCAATGGTGAAAGAAATTTATGGTTTGACAATTGGTCACACTTTGGAGTCATCTGAGAGATTCCAATTGAGTCTTGATTGAAGGTGTCATTAACAATGGCGGTCCTTTTCCTCGGAGATATTTTTTGAGTTGAACGAAATCCACTACATCATTGGGAGCTTGAATTCCAAGTTGACTCATATTTACACGGAAGCCAATGTTGTGACTGATAGACTAGCTTGTGAGGCATCCTTGGGGCAATCAAAAGTTTACACCTCCCAAGCAAACTCCCCAACTTTCCAAGGAGTCTTTTGCTTTTGGATAAGCAATCTTTTCCATATGTTAATAAAAGATAATAGATCACCATCCTTGCTGCCAGCGTCATTGATGTGAGTTTCATCAGTAAGGTAGGTAAGGTACTACTAATCATTAATCATCGTCCTTGTAGATAAGCTTATTTGTAAAGTGGTACGATGATGAGGGTAGGAAATTTCCTTGGTTGTTAAAAACCAGCGTCTTTGATGAGTTTTTTTTTTTGCAGTAAGGTGTTTAGATCAAGTGGGGGTTTTTTTTAAGCAAGAAAAGGAAGAGATGATTTTCAGGTTCCAACTGACTTAAAAAAACTCAATGGGTATACCCAAGAGGTATGTTTTAAACCAGCTGGTGCTGGATAGCATAATGCACCTAGGGGGTATACCCAAGGGATGGACATATCTACTACTAAGTTCCATGGTCCCATCCATCCTTGTTTTATTACCATTAATCAACAAAATAAAATGGCAGAGTATAGTTCGTACCATATTACATCACCTAGACTTTGTACGGAGATAAAGAAAGGAAAGTTGATTTAAGGCCAACAATCCTTTTACATATCTAGGCAAATGAGCTAAAGTATAAAACACCTCTGACACACCAGAGGATGAAATCTTAGACAGTCTATCTGCTACAGCATTCGCCTCCCTATATATGTGAGCCACCTGGTAATCATTCCTCTTAAAAAATAAAGACATTTCATGTAACAATATAAAATGCTTCCATGGAAAACCTGAGTGAGCCTGCAAGATATCCGCTAATCCCTTATTATCCGTCTGTAAACAAGCATTCCGAAGATGCAACATTTAACACCTGCGCAAGCCAAAAAGAGCTCCAACTACTTCAGCCATAAAGCTATCCCCTCCTCCCAGATATCCACTTTCACCATAAATAAAACCACCACCTTCTCCTTGTACAACATAGCCATACCCCGCTACACTTAAAACTGACGAACCATCACAATTTAAAATATAAGAGTTAGGGCTCATAGGAATCCACCTAACCTCCTTCCAAGCCGGTTGAGCCTTACCACTCAAAACAGAACCAAAAATCCTTTCAAAAAACTCTTTTTCCACCGCATTCAATACCTTCATATTGAAGAATTTCATAAAAAGCCCGATCTGGTCCTTGATGACATGAATTGTTCCCATCACTTCAAATTTCTTCCCCTCAAAGAAAGCTTTATTCGTAGCTTTCCATACCTCCCAAAAGATAAACACCGGCTTTGGAGATACATAGCAAATGCAGCCTCATCCAGCGGCTTAACTTGCATCAGGCTTGCAAAATGATTCCAAATGTCACGCACCTTGCAACACCCAAAAAAGGTATGCTCAAAACCTTCTCTTTGTGCATAGCAAAACAAGCAAACTGAAGGTAGGGTTTGAATACCCATCTGACCTAGAACCTCTGGAAATGGTAATAATTTGGTGCGCAACTTCCAAGCAAAAAAAGAGACTCAAAAGGTATCGGCTTAAGCCATACATATCTCGTCCATTCCTCAACAGGACGCTTCCTCCGCATCACCTCATATGCCGTTCTAACTGAGAAATCACCTAGAGCATTTTTCTGCCAAACCAAAAGGTCATCGTCCTTCTGGAAAAGAAACTCACAACCAACAAGAAACAACCTTATTTGATCAGAAAGTACATTATCAAATTCTACCAATTAATCTTGTATACGAAGAAAGAAATCCCTTATTGAAATTGGCAGCGCAAGGGCCTAAGCATGATCCATATCCCAAATGACACCATGCTGCGACCAATTATCCAACCAAAACAGGCCATTTTCCCATCTTACAACAGGATCTCGAAGGAATTCCGGGGGGGCCCTAAGAAAATTTGGAAATCTGCCATTTTGATAACGTAAAAGATCCAGAATGGAATGATTTTGAATATCGATTTATTAGTAAAAAACCTTCTCCAGCGTTTGAATTAGCTAAACAGGAACTCTATGTTAGAAATGAAGTCCCAAAAGACGAATTGGGCATTTTTTTGATCGGAGATGCAGGCGTTTTTCCATGGAGATGGAAAATTCGTCCGCCAGGATTTATCAATTTGCAAATTCTTCCTCAGTTAGTTAAAAGATGAAATTGGCTGATATTATGACAATACTAGGTAGTATAGATATCATTATGGGAGAAGTTGATCGTTAAAATGATTAAAATGATAAAGGATACAACTGAAATACAGACAACTTAGTATTGCTCATAGCCCTTGTTTAGATCATGTGGGTTTTCGCACTATAATAGACTAGCTTCTCTTCTATTTATTTGCATTAATATATTAGTTGGTAAGTCTTAAAAACTGCAAATTCTTTTTTTTACCTATTTTTTGTTAGTTGAGCATAGTAAAGAGAATAATGATAGGTAGCTCACCTAAATAACTCACCTTATCATCTCATCTTACATGTCATCTATTGATTGGGTAATGCATTGCTAGTTAAATTTAAATAGATTAAATTAAAATATTATTATATTTCTTATTAATATTTGGCTGATTGATTATATTTTGTAGTTATAATTTTACCCTAAAGGGTTTACTTTTTTAGGGGTTAGGGTCTATTTAGTTTAGAATATAGACATATTAGTATTCAAAAAGTAAATAAATCTAACAAAAAAATTATAAAATTAACTTATTAGATTTTACCTAATAATTATTTAAATTATTAAATTTCATCCAACATTATGAGTTTACCCAAAATACCCTTTTTCTCTGAACAACAAACCCTAGTAGTGACGGCAGGTTTGAAGATCGGCCACAATGGCCGACGCTCATCCGCCGGTGTTTCAACAAGATCCGCCAAGGACATTTGCAAGCTACTTGAAGAAGCCTTTAGATGTCTCAACAAACAAAGAATCTCTAATAAGGCAAGGGAAGTTTGTTAATGGAACTCCAACTTTGGAGTTTGAAGATGATGAATTTGAAAAATTGCTTGCCCCATATCGCTTGCGTTTGGTTGGTAAGTTCTCAAATGAGCGGCCAAAAATGGAGGAGGTACATAAGGAGTTTTAAAAAATTGGCTTCAACGGTGGCTGTACCTTGGGTTTAATGAACCGTAGGCATGTTTTAATCCGGTTTGAGTAGGAAAAAGATTAACAAAGATGTTGGATCCGGACATTTTAGAACATTCAGGGATTCTCAATGAGAATCTTAAAGTGGACTCCCGGATTTCAATTTGAGGAACATTTGCTAGTGGTGCCTATATGGGTTGCTCTTTAAGATCTCCCCATTGAATATATGCATTCAGAGGTTATTTTCTCAATGGCTACTACATTGGGACAACCATACCGACCTTGAATATGACCCGTCCATCCTTTGCGCGTTTTTGCATAGAAGTGGACCTCACCAAAGAGTTGCCAAAGTCAGTCTGAATTGGTAAAAAGGGACGTAAACATGAGCCGTTCTTTACGTTTGAGCATGTGCCATCTTATTGTGTTAAATGCAGTAAGATTGGTCACAAAGATGATGAATGTCGGATGGGAAAACCCTTTCAGGAAAGCCAATCTAAGGAGCCGCAAGTGGGAAAGAAGAAAGGAATCAAGATTGTGCCTGCAAAAGCCAAAATGGTCCTTAAAAAATGAGAATGATAAATCTGGGAATGACAAATTTGATAAAAAAAGACCTTGAAGTGCAGATTATACAAACCGACCCTTTGATCGTGAAAGGAATTGAGTCGCAGATTCCGGCATTGCAAGATACGCAGTCGCATCCTGCGGAAACCATAGTTGTGCGAGTTTCCTTGTCACAGCCTGTGGAAACCCTAGACTTGCGACGAAAAGATTCATTGTCTGGTTTGTCAGCGAAGGAGAAAGAGGCTATTCCGGTCAATCTACAGCCCTCTCCTGAGAGAGTTGAGTATGATCTTGAAGTTGCTCCTGTGAGTAACCCTAGTGGTGCCAAAACTACAAACCGTTTCTCGGCGCTGCAAGATTTGTGCAACGGCAAAGGTGATTTGATAGCTGAGACGGATGATGAGGTGGAGAATATGTGTATACTGAAGCTAATGATGTCCAGCAGATTTCTTCTGATGCTGTGGTTCTTGTAGCTAATAAGCCTGCTAATTCTCTTAATGAATCGGTTCCATCCCTAGCGAATATGTCGCAACCGGGGGTTGGTAAACTTCCTGATGATTCCTTTGAGATTGATAGCCAAGAAAACGATGAAGATAATGAAGATGGACGTTCGTGGTCTGAAGGTGACAAAGAGGATGCACAGATAACTAAGAATGAACAAGGGGAACGCTTAGTCAAGAAAAAGCATGGCCGGAAATCGAAAGAGGTGCGCCCCAAACAATTTGAAGGGATTGAGCTGCGGCGGTCCCTTCGAATTTAGTAGAGCTTTTTTTCTTTCAAAGTTTTCAGTGATTAGTGTAATCTTCTGGAATATTCGAGGAATAAAAAGTCTGGCTTCCCAACGTCGCTTGAAGTCTCTTATTCAAAGGTTTAGCGTTTCACTTGTGGTGACTCTTTAGCCAATGCTTCCGGTTCATACGCTGGAGGAAATAAAGAGAGAGCTACGGTTTTATTCAGCATTCTCATCATGCACAAGTAAGATATGGGTTATGTGTAGTAAGCTTTTTACGGTTAATGTATTGGATGATGCGGAGCAAGTGCTTTATCTTGAAGTTAGCTACATACCGATTCAGAAAACATTTTTAGTGTCATCTGCATATGCCAAGTCAAATAAAGTGGATAGAAGATCTCTTTGGGTCAGTTTGGAAAATTCCAGGGGTTTATACCCTAACTTGCCTTGGATGTTGGAGGTGATTTTAATGTAATTCATTCCTTGGAAGAGTACTCTGAATCTTCGGTTTAGGATTATGGTGTTATTGATGAATTCAACCAAGTTATTGAATCAACTAGATTGCTAGAGATAGCTCCCATTGTTGATGAGTTTATATGGGAAGGAACTAGGAATACTGGTTGGGTTAGTAAGAGATTTAATCGCATTCTATATACTAATGAATGGTTAGACATGTTTCTAAGGGTTTCGATTGAGCATCTAAGTCGAACAACATCTAACCATTGTCCGCTTCTTCTTCAATTTGATGCACAGCTTGAAAGTAAACCGAAAATGTTTTAGTTCCAACAAATGTGGCTTACAAGTCTGGAATTTAAAGATGTGGTCAAGAAGAGTTGGTCTCGACCGGTTAATGGTTTTGGAATGTTAGCTTTCTCAACAAAGCTTCAAAGATTGAAAGTGAAGCTTATAGAATGGAATAAGGAGCATTTTGGTGATGTTTTTCAAAATTTGAAGCAAGCTGAGGATAAGGTGTGTGAAATGGAGATTGCTTATGATCATTCGGATGAGACAGTTGATAGGGTTAATCTCAATATTGCAATTGCTAGTACGGTGATTACCTTAAATCCTAAGAAACCCTCATTCACTATGTTTTCTGATTTTCGCCCAACAAGCCTATGTAACTTCCTTAACAAGGTGTTTACGAAGGTTTTAACGGAGCATTTGAAGAGAGTATTGCCGAAGATCATCTCAAAAGAGCAATCTGGTTTCTTAGAGGGACATGATATAATTAATAATGTTGTCTTGGCACAAGATCTTTGTAAATTTATTACTCATAAGGCAGTTGGGAATAATGCGGTTATAAAGGTTGACATGATGAAAGCATTCGACAGAGTGTCTTGGAATTTTTTGGAAAAAGTGATGGTAAAGCTAGGGTTTCCACCGCAATTTGTTGTGTTGATAATGAACAATTTGAAAAATAGTTGGTTCTTGGTGATGGTAAATGGCATTCCAACTGGTTTCTTTAAATCATCCCGTGGCATAAAGCAAGGTGATCTACTTTCTCCATATTTTTTCATGTTAGTTGCTGAAGCAATGTCAATGAGGCTAAATAGTTTACCTCAGGCTAGAAAATTAGCGGTTTATGGCACGCCTGCGGGCTCTTTGTGGGTTTGGCATCTTAGTTTTGCGGATGATTTAATAATATTCACAAGGGGTGAAAAGAGGTCGTTGAAGGTGCTGAATACTTTCTTTGATGATTATGAAGTGGCATCGGGTCAGAAAATGAATAGGCAAAAACGTTTCTTCCTGGTTGCGGAGTCTTGCTGCGCACAACTGGTGGAAATAACCAAGAATGCTTTGGATATGAATAAGAGCTCCTTTCCTTTTATGTATTTGGGCTGCAAGTTGTATCAAGGTAGGAAGAAAGCTTCTACTTTTAAGTTTCTACTGGATTTAATATATGCAAAGTTGACAAGTTGGAAAAATAAATTCTTAAGTCCGAGAGGAAGGCTCATTCTTTTAAGGCATGTTCTATCGGCAATACCAGTACATGTACTTTCAGCAATAAGTTCTCATGTTTTGATTCTCAAGCAGATGGAGAAAAGGTGTCAACAGTTCCTATGGTAAGGCTCAAGTGAGGAAAAAATGAAGCATCGGAGATCATGGGATCGATTAACAATCCCAAGCTTAGAAAATGGGCTAGGTTTACGGCAGTTTCATGAGGTCGTACAAGCTTTTTCTTATAAGCTTTGGTGGAAGGTAAAACATGAAAATGGATTGTGGAGTAATTTTTTTTTGTCGCTTTCAGATGATGCATGGCGGAAGACTACTTCGAGTAGGATCAAAATGGTGGAGCACGAGGCAATACGGTAAACAAAGGTTTTGGTCCAAGGAGGGGATAAATCATTTTGGTTTGGTAATTGGACGCCGAATGGGGTGATTTGGGAATCCCCTGACGAGCAGCGGATCATGCCAAACTTAACAATTCATGATTTTTTTGCTAATAAGATAATGTTGTTGACTTATTTGCAAGGATTTTTGAGTCCATGTGTAAGGCAAACTTTGATGAGCATGGAAGTTATTCTCAACAATAATCGCGACAAAGTTATTTGGCAATGTACGCTTTCGGGTCTTTTCACCATTAAATCCGCCTACTTGAATTTGCGAAGAAGACATTTGGAAGATCCCTTGGCAAAGAAGCTTGAGGATAGTATATATCATTGTTTCTTTGGTTGTTTTGTAAAATGCATGAGGATAGTATATATCATTGTTTCTTTGGTTGCGGGGGGTTGGGGTTAAGGAGAGTTAGAAACATTTTGCAAAAATTTTCCAAATTACTGTTGTAAATGAGGCAACCTTGTTTGATGTTTTGCTTAAATGGTGGAATCAGGGTAACTTTACATCTGCAAAAAAAAACCTTAATCAATGTGCTTCCCTCCTTCATTCTATGGGAGGTTTGGAAGTCCAGGTATAGGGTTTGCTTTGATGGCATATATTTTGATTCGAGATGGGCTATCTTAGAGATTGAGAAAGATGTTAGGAATGCTTTGTTCGTTCATGAATTGAAGCCTAGAAATGTGGAAGAGAGGGAATTTGTTGAGCATGCCTTTGGATTTAAGTTGAAACGAATTCAGAGACGTCATTGTATTTCAGTAAAATGGAGGTCAGCTTGAGCAGAAGGCTATGTACTTAATACTGACGGTTCTTTGGTAAATGCGGATTCAGGGTACGGTTTTGCTATTAGAAAACATGAAGGGAATTATTTGTATGGAGAAAGTGGCATTCTTGGAGGCGGAAATAGCTATTGAGCAGAAGTGTTTGGCCTTTTGTTTGGCATTAGGAAATGTGATCAACTAAATCTAGAGTTGGTGGACATACAAATGGATAACAAGACATTGGCATATTTGCATGGGTCTTTGAAGTCAATACCTTGGAAATTCTATTCTCAGATCATGGAGATTCCTCTATAATTTATAGGAGGTCTTGCAGGATATCTCACATATACAAGAAAGCTAATGCGGTGGTGGATAGCTTGGCAGGAAGGGCATCGCTTGGCGTCTCAGAAACATACAATAGTTTGGAAGGATTGCCTAGACATGTTAGGGTCTTGTACATCTAGACCAAATATATTTTCCTTACTTGCGAGTTAGATTGAAATAGCTCTCTTAGCTTTAAGATTTATTGTAATGGGTAAGATCATACTCTGCCCTTGGCACTTTTGTTTCTTAAAGCATAATAAAAGCCGGGAGGAATGGAGCTGGGGACCTAGTGAGTATATATGTCCATCCCTTGAGTATTTTTATGTCAGTTGGAACCTGAATACCATTCTAACCTTTTAATTAAAAAAAATACCATGAAATGTGGGATGGAAAGGTGAGATAAATTAAGTGTGACGTGTATCATCACTCTAGTAAAAATACCGAAATTTTATATGAACTCTTATATATGGTAATGAAATTCTTTACCAAAAAAGATTATAACTCAATGCGATACCCAAACTAACGCACAACTATATCATCTTTGTAAGGATTTCTTCCAACACCCTTTGTATAACATAAACTACTTCAACTTTCACGAGACTCTCGAATTTCATCTATGAAATGGCTACATTGTATTCAATTTGTTAAGATGGGCAATAAAGCACGTACATCATTACTGTACTGTTCCAAAGTACCTACTCATCCTTCAAGAAATGACTATAAATTGAACAGCCTGTAAAACATGCTAAAACAAGGTCATTGTGTATTTATATGGCTAGTGTTGTAATAGTACATGCATGAACATAAATAAAATAAAATGTAACTTAACTGCATAAGCACATTAATTAAAAAGTTACGAAGTCAACCACAAAAGAGACTCAAATTCAGACATAAAGTAAGTACCAATATCCGGAAATTAATCAAGGATTGATTATCTAAAGCAATAATTAATCTTCAAGCATAAATAACTTCATTGTTGTTTCCTATTCCTTTGCATGATCCGGAATCATGTGCACTTGTATGTATATACCTCTTTAATCACACTTCACAAATTCACAAATGAATGGTTCGTACGGTTCAATAAGATTTGCTTGGCAAAGTTCCTTCCATCCAGTGCGGTAACATTGAAGACCATCTATCCATATGCTAAGAATCGTCTTCCACTCCCTTCCTCGAGGGTCACATAAGTTGGTCTCTGCTGAAAGTTCAAGATGGTAAACTTTGATGATTTCATGTGGCACAATCTGCGAACAATGAAAAAAAGAATTGGTTTGTATAAGTACAAAACATTTGCATAACTAGATTATCTCACGAGTATAAATTAATTAATTTACTATGTTTCTTTTTTAACAAATATTTAAATCTAATGCCTATATATGCTTTCCAATTTAATTTCTCAAATGCATAAATTAGTGGGAAGAGCTACTTTCTGTTTAGGTGATAACATTAAAATGAACGTTAGACCCAGAGAAGAGTCTCTGATATGAGTTAAATTATAAATGTAAAACGTTTTAAAGTCCAAAATCAACATACGTACCATTCTATATGTCCTCCAGCTATTTATTACCGCAACGAAATGTGGATCCCGAGGTCTAGGAACTTTTCGGTATTTGAAAAGTTCATAGCCAAAGGGATCGACTAGTCCGTTCGTCTTCAAAGAATGATGTGATTTCTTTGCACTATTCCCACCTACAAATGTAATTATCAGAAGTAATGATCACATTAAAAATGAAAAAAAAATTCATATATTCCAAAATAATTGTCGTTTTTGTTGTACGACTAAAACTTAACAATATGACGAAATAGTACCTCTGACATTTTCTGAACCATTGTGTGCATTGAAAGCCTGATCAATTTCCATTGCTTTCCCATCAACATTATTACTTGCATCCTTGTTATCATCTTCTGGTACTTCTTGTTCATTCTCTTCCTCTAATTTATATTTAAGACTTCCAACTCCTCTTTTGTCGCATGAATCGATACCAAATTGTCTCACATAAAAAACTAAAATTCTATCAAACTTAAAAATGATACAGTCTCCCTTTTCCAAGTCATTTTGTTTAGTGAATGCTGGCCACCCCTGATGGAAGTAAGTTTTGTCCTGATCATTACTAAGTTCCACTTGCCATATGTTTCTGTAGCGATCCCTTAAAAATGCTTTCTTTGGAAACTTCCCTTCCATCTCGTTTGTCCAAGCCATAGGAAGCATCTGCATGAGATGAATTATATATCAGGTAGACAATGAAATAGTAAGGTAAATAATGGTAAATGTTTCCATAATGATTAAAATTGTTTGGCGAAGTTGTAGTTCAGAAAAAGAAAACTTGGCCTATGCTATTCTTGAACTCTTTCAAACTGTTTACATAAATATATCACATCGTGAATAAAAATAAACTGCCAAATAATGGTACTAGCATGAATCGTCATCCATGAATCAAATACTTCAATTAAGTAAGAGATAATAGCAAAAGCGTTACAAATTAACAGTACCACCGAAAAATAATGAAAATTTTCTATATTCAATTTCAAAGGGCTGTGCTAATTTTCAAATATTTCAGAAGGAAGCATCTCAAAAGAGAATGGAAAGTTTCATTCTGGCAGGAGAGTTGGTTGGAGACAGGACCAATTTGGAGTGGCAGCAGAGCAAATGAACCTCCCTATGTTCATCTAGGTGTAAAAGCATTCTTTCAACAAAAACAATGTTTCTTACAAGCAATTGGCAACAATCTTACACCTATGGTCAAGGCCAAATTGGAAACAATGGAGATGGATTTTATGAATGAAGAGGACCGGTTGATATGGAAGCCATCCGCAACGGGGAGATTTACAATTGCTACGGCATATTCAGAAATAAGGGAGTCTAATGAAGCAAATGCTCTCATTGCCAATTTTTGGAATAAATTAACTCCATTGAAAATCTCTTTTCTATTATGGAAGATAAAAAATAGACTAATTCCTTTGTCTGAAATTTCGCAGGATCTAGGGTTTAAATTAGACCCGACCCGATGCCCTTTCTGTTTAAGAGATGGAGAAAATCCTGAGCATCTATTTTATGATTGTATGAAACCAAAAAAGGTTTGGCTTTATTTTGCTTCATTTTTTGGAATTTTAATTGACAATCATGCACGGCTATGGAGCAATATTCAAGCATGGCAAATGGTTGGTAGTTTCTCAACAGCGAAAAAATCCATCATCATGGTACAGCCAGCTTTCTTAATATGGGCATTATGGAAAGCAAGGAATAAGTGCATTTATGAATGTACTGGCTTCTCTCCCGATTTAATAATTTGTGAAGTTAAGTCTAACATCTCCAATATGTTGAGCATTCATGGATTGAGAGCTGGATCATCCATTGAACAAAGAGAGCTAGAGAATATTTTCCACATGAAGCCATTGCTACCCCGGAAAAGAGAAATAAAATTAGCCAGTTGGAAACCACCGAATCTAGGGGAAAAAATTCTAAACACTGATAGATTAGCTTTAGGGCAACCAGGAGAAGCAGGATGGGATTATGTCCTTCGGGGCGAAAGAAGAGCTTGCAAAATCAGAGTGTATAGAGGTAGCAATAAGTTTGGAACCAGAAATTGAAGGAATTAGACATGGCTTAAAAGCGTGCAAGGAAAGAGATTTCAACAATATTACTGTCCAAACGGATAGCTTGACAGTGGTCAACATGATCAAGAAAGGGAAGATTTACCCTTGGAGGCATCATAGACAACTACAGGAGATTCAAAAACTTCTTCATTTGACAAATTCCAGAATAATACACATCTATCGAGAAGTCAATAGTGTGGCAGATGAATTGGCAAAGCAAGCGTCGCAAGGGACTAACCGGCAATGGGAAAATTATGCAGAGTTATCAGCTTCAATAAAAGGTAAAATCAACTTGAATCGGCAAAGTTTTCCATACTTACGAATGAAATAGTAAATAGGGATTTTTTTGAAAATTTAAACTTTCTAAAATTTTCTTATAGCAGTAGTTTATAAAAGAACTGATGAGGGATTTTGGATAATCTTTGTAACTCAGTTCTTAGTTCCAAATCAGATATGATAGATAAGTCGTCAAGGGATTATTAACATGATCTTTGCAAGACAACTCATAGATAAAAGATTACATAAGAATCGTCATGGGGATTTAGCAATCCTTTGTAAGACGGTCTCTTTTTTTTTTTTTATTTGGGTAAGTCTTAACCAGTGCCTATGTACTTTTCATTTTAAATTAATAAAATCGGGGGATACCCGCCAGGTACCGTCCTGGTTCTCTTAAAAAAAAGAGAGAATGTAATTAACTTTTGATTTAGAGCATTGCAGCTAAGAGTTCTATTCGGAATCTCTATCCTAAGGTGATAGAGAGTATTGCATCTCATGAAGTAATTTCTTTGGCTCTGTCCTAAGGTGTAACTCTCTCTAGTCGGTGACTCGTCATCAACTATCCACAGCCTATAATCACAAGAAAATGACCTCTTGGATATGATCTTGATACTCTCTATTGCCAAAGCTAATTTTGAAGACATAATCAGTTTCAACTGTAGTTGGGTTAATTAAAGTTTCAGTGTCTTGTTAACCAAAAGAGACAGAGAGTGTGTGTGCGTGCGTGTGTGTGTGAGAGAGAGAGAGATTCAACGTGTTTTGTTATTCTGTAGCTCAACATGCAAAATCTAAGCATGCCTTTGAAACGTATCTGGACTCTATAACCCAATCGAAAGATACACTTGTTATCATAATAGATGATTTCCAAGTAATTAATGATAACTTTTTTTCAAAAGGAAAAAAAAAAACACTTTTGATTGATTCATATCATGTTTTCCAGTTGACAGAACTGATTTCCAATCAAGCTTTTCAATCAAGAAAGGACTAACTTCCCTTAAATGCATTTTCTTATACATTAACTAGGACATAGATTACATAGCAAGCATCCTTATTCCTAAATTTTATTAATAGGAAACCAAAATAATGGTAGTGTATAAGAGTTACTTTTAGAGCTTATGTAAAATATGTCATTACTTATTTTATTCTTATAGTGCATTTATTTTTGTGAAGATAATTCCAAAATGATCGCATAAGCTAGATATGAGAATTCTAAGAAAAATGTTTTCTTTTTGTAATGATAAAGAAAATCATCAGAAAAGATAAGATGAAAGAAACACTTACAAGTTTATCACTGTTGGTCTCAGGGTTGAACGTTTTGAAAAATTCAACATGCTTCTTCTCTGCCTTGCTTGCCTCCATATTTAATCGCTTTGGGGCTTTTCTTGGAGCCATTTCCCTCGATGAATCTGAAAAATGAGAACAATATACAAGAAGAAATTAATGACATAAAAAACAAAATAAAGAGATTAACTATTGAATGAATAAATTTAATCGCACACGTATAGCCATTTTAATATGGATCTCTTAGAAATACACTAAGAGCTCTACGACTAGATTAGGAGTTGGCATATGATATGTTCTAGACATGGGCAATCCCCTAAAATTTAACATTAAACTCAAGCCGTAACAACACGAGAAATACAGTACGAAGAAATGGGGAAATGAAATAGAGTACGGAGAAATGGGGAAATAGAATAAAATGTTAAATAAGGGTACCATGCTATAATAACAGGGGGGACCAAGCCATAATAACACTACAACAAAAATGAGTAGTTTAGACACTTTTTTGTCTCTCAATAAGTGGTGTAATAGGACACATGTGACTCAAAATTGTGTGGACACTACTAAATAGTGTCTCCTATAATCAAGTCACAATAAGCCATAAAACATTTGAAAATGTATTATTAGATTGTCACTCGTTAACACACTTTAAAGTGACCCATCAAGTAAGGTAATAGTTCACAAGCAATCCCAAATAGTACACTTATGATAGTGTTTCATAATAGGAATACATTTTTTCATTTTCAATAAGACACTTTTTAGCAAATGTCCTAATACACATATAATAAGACACATTTTAGGAAAAGTGTCCCCACATAAAGGTATTAATAGCTCATTTTTGTTGTAGTGTAACAATGGGAAAGTCATACATGGATACATCAAAATGTTAAAATACATGGAAATGTTTGCTCGTTACAAAACTATTAATTAAGCGCCTGTTATATACATTAAGCACTACAAACATTTTTGGAACCTAAAACAATTTTTTTTTTTTTTGGGGCAATGGTAAATTTTTATTTCTTTCCAAAATACTCCCTGTACATCCAGTCCAGTAGGGCATCTATTACACTGACTTCTTTTAGTTGATTAAACCTAGTGATTTACAAAACTGTGCATCTACATCACTAAATTTTTTACAAAAGCCTTCAAATCTACATTGCATCTTCTGTTTCAGCAGCTCGTAGAATGCTTCAACTGTTTTTTATGCCTTCCTGAATTTCCTTTGGTTCAGTCCAGAGTTGGTAGACTGTAGCTTGCAACACTGTCCAGAAGATCTTCTGCCTGAATTTCCGTCTCTTCCAGCATTTAAGTATGCTTCCAAGTCTATTCCTCAGGGTGGTGATATCCATGTACAAGCCCAAGCAATCCCTCACTAGATTGAGCAGCTCCAGTGAGCTGCATTGGAAGAAGAGATAGTCCACCGTTTCTAAAGCTCCTGAACATAACTCACCGCCTGCTGGATTTTCCAAAATCTGCATCTTGATAAGTCTTTCCTGCGTCAACAACAGACGATCTTTTACTGCCAGCCAGTTTATGAAGCAATACTTTGGAATGGAGAAAGCATTCCATACAAACTTGGCTGCTTGTCATTGATCTGATCTCCCCAGAAACCATGAGTATCCTGACTTGGCTATGTAAGGTTTCCCTTTGTTAGCTTGCCAGACTCCATCTTGAACTGCCTGTTGAAGTTCAGTTTTGATCGCCATCAGTTTTCGCCAATGCCAACTACAGTCTGAAGGTGACTGATACGTCCTGAACTCCTTTTTTATATAGTAGATGTAAAACTATTTTTCATTCACTATAAACACGCAGATTTAGAATCTCAACCTCAATTCAAATTAATCATAACAAAAAGAAATTGATCTCCTATGCTTCATCATATGAACTTTAAATTTTTCGGTTATTAAAAAAGAAGCAAATAAGGATGACATATTGTAAAATTTATTGTGGTCTAGTGTTGAAGGAAACTTTCTCTGCCAAACTTCCTTTTTTCTCTACCAAATCTTCTGACTTTCTGAAAATGCATTAGACACACCTTAGAGGTAAAAATAGTTTGAG